CTCAATCTTCAATGCGTAGTCTGATTCCGGCCTTAAGCCGTAATCACACTAGCGATTACCGATTGGATTGAGATTGCGATTGGCGATTGGCGATCTACAATCATTCAATCGCACTGACCAACACTGACGATTGTAAGAATTGTGGCCGCTAATATATTGTGTCTGTGAAAAATAGCATCGAAAAAATGCCAAGAAATATTAATCAATATTGGCAATTTGAAACTATAGAACTGGCATCTTGATGTAATGCCTGTGAAGTAAATGCATCAAAGGTGTTATCTGATATTAATACCCATTTCTAAAATAGAACATAACGCCTAATATTATATTTATAATGAAATTAATTATATATAATGATATACACCCAATTAATTAAAAAAAGCATTATTTCCCATTTCTCTATAACTAAGGTATTTATACATTTTATTATTTATTAGTCTTATTCGGGATAATTTTTTTTGTTACTATCTTTCTATATTTTAGTAACTTAATGACTATTTGGTTACTGTGTGTAATATTAAATATTTAATAGATCTCAACGATCATAGGAAGATATTTTACAAGATGACGTATATTCAGCGCTTTTATGAATCTTATTTATCTAATTGGACATGGCCTAGATTGCATATTTGTTGAACAGCTTAAGATAGGATTTATTCATTATGTTAACGAATTTTATAATTTCTAATTTTTATATTACAATATTTATTTTTTGTCAACATTGAGAATGACCTGATACTGGTTGAAATGTATATTTTATATTATTGTTTATTTTCTCATGTAAGTCGAAATTTATGTTAAATGATTTGTTTTAGGCTCGTAGCTCTTCTTTGTTACATTACTTAATCTTTAAATTTTAGTATAGAATTAGTTATATATGCGCGGTTTTTTACCTAAGAGAAATTTCATCACTAGATCGCCTGTACGACGATTTATGCGGCTTCCAGAGTCTCTATCTTTGAGTGAACGAAATTTAATTTAGAAGACTGGTATAAATTTTTTTAAAATTCAAGTATATATATATATATATATATATATAGGTAAAGAAATTTAAGCCGAACCTCTGTCCCCGAAGAGGTTTAATGCTGGATCGTAAGATCAACGCATGGTACTGTGATCCAATAATAGGGTCGAAAATCCGTACAGAGGAATTTAAACAGAAGAAAAAGATGGTTTCAAAGGCTCACCATTCAAAAACTATTGGCACTTCAACATTTTGCTATTAACATTTTTGACTTTTTCAAAGTTTTTCATAGGAGAAATACGTACATGCCGGTTCCTCCGGTTGGTTTGGATCACTCTGTATATGCATTAAAATATATTGCTTATATATGCGTTTTTGATAATTTAAATCAAAATTGTTTTTACATAGAAATCATTTTTGTCTATCACATTATACAATATATCTTTTGTAATCGTCCATTTGTTTTGAAAGTTTTTAAATATTATTTTATAGTATTACACAGACATGGAATATTAAAATTCCAAATATATGAACAATGAATTTAGAGACAAGA